AAACATAAAAAGATGTTATTGAAAAAAGTAAATAAGAAGCTGCTAATGTAAATAAGGAAAAGGAATAATTGGGATTAATATTTTTAGAGTAAGCTAGGTATTTCTTTTATAATGAAAGAAATTACAAGGCAACATTAGATTGTATAGATGATGGTATTAAATTCATACCTACAAATGAAAGTTTGATTTAGTTATAAGCAGAAACATTTTATTAAAATGGTGATAAGATTTCATGCGAATAAAAATTAAAAATATTATAAAAATTGAATCCAAAAAATGATTATGCTTCAATGATGTTGTCAGAATTAGTTTTATAATAAGATGATAGTGAAAAATCAATTTAATAATTTGTTTAAACCTTATAAGAGAAACCAAACTCTTTTGGAACTTTATCTAAAGTAATAGATTGGTATAGAAAGTAAAATAGATTAGATGAAATTTAAATTATTATAAATAATTGTGCTAAAGCTACTTAAAACTAAAATGAACCAGGATTATGTTTTTGTAGAGGATTGTATTATAAATATAAAAATTTACCTAAAGAAGCATTGATATAATTTAATTATGCAAAGAAACATTAATAATATGCTGAAGATAGTTTGACTTATATGATTGATTTGTATTTGAATCCTGATTAAGATCTTTATTATTCAATAACAGATGAATAACCAAAACCAGTTGCAGTAGAAAATTTAAAAGCTTGTGATTAATTACTAAAAGAACTTTAAAATAGAGGGAGTATGTCAAGGTATATTCAATTCTATATATTATAGATATTTGGTTATGTAGGCTTATGTATTATAATTGTCAGGTATACCAAAATCTATAGAAATGGCTAGTACTATTTTGGCATAAATATTAAAAAGTAATAAAGAATGGGTTCCAGCAATGTTGAGTTTAGCCATAAATAAATTCTTAAGTAAAAAATAAACTGAAGGAAAGACAATTTTGAAATTGTTATGGGCAAAGTAAGCTGATACAAGTGGTTGGGAAAGAGATGAATTAGAAAGAGCATGGTTATTGCATGCTGATGCATTTATATCTATTTAAAAATATGATTAAGCTGAAGAAATTTTAAGAAAATGCTTGAAATAAAATAAATGTTGTGCCAAAGCTGAAGAATTAATGGGTTTAATAAAGGAAAAAGAGTAATCATATATTGATGCATCTAATTCATATGAAAAAGCATTCAAATTAACAAATCAAAGAAATCCTATTATGGGTTATAGATTAGCATTTAACTATTTAAAAGCAAAAGTATAAAAATAAATCATATAAACTTAGCGTTTCGTTGATGCTATAAATATTTGCAAATTAATTCTACAAATAAATCCTGCATTTCCTAAACTGCAATCTGAAATCCTGAGCAAAGCAATTCAAGCCTTAAAACCTTGAAAAATTAAATATTATTATAAACAATTTAATATAATTAATCATTTCTTTTTTTCTTATTATTATTATTATTATTATCCAACATTAAGATCTCTCAATACAACAACTTGATTTGTAGCTCTATTATATTCCCAACCTCCAAAAATCAAAATATGTGGACCTATAGATGTAGCAGTATGACCATATCTATTTCTTGGAGCATTTCCTTCATATTTAGCCTTTTCCCAACACATCTTTTCAGTATTCAATATAATCAAATAATCAATATCTGGTGGAGTAACAAAATTATTTTCACTTAAATATTTAATTAACTTACCTTCTAGCCCCTGAGTTTAATGACCATCCTCCAAATACAACAATATCTGCTCCACTTACATTTGCTGAATGTCCATATCTTGGAGCTGGAGGTGTACCACTTACTCTTAGTCGACTCCATGCAAAATGCTCAGTATCAAGAATTCTAATGTCATTTAGATAGCATCCTCGTAAATGAGATCCATGTCTAGGATTTGCTGTTTTATGAAGATTTTTAAGATTTTTATCTTCTTGATAATAGAATCCCCCTTGAATGATTAAATTGGCACCAACCTGTATAGCTGTATGTCCTTAACGAGGAGCTGGAGATGGGCCAGTACAAGGAGGTTAAGACCAAGCCATTACTTCTAAGTCTAAAACATAGAGATCATTAAAATAATCAATTCCATTCCATCCTCCAAATATTATCATTTTAGTTGAGGCATACTAAAATAATTTATTGTAAAATAATTACTAAAGTAGCAGAATGTGCAAATCTAGCACTTGGAGACCCAGATCCTTCAGGTCCCTAATACCATGTTAATGTTAATGGATCAAGAGCATGTAAATCTCGGAATACACATTTTTCTCCTTTCCCTCCAAATATAATTATTCTTTATCCTGCTAAAACTGCAGAATGTGCATATCTAGGAGCAGGTGGAGTACCTTATACTTTAGCCTTAAACCATCTATTGGCATTAACATCCATTTAATATGTGTCATTCAAATATTTATATCCCTCATCTTTATTTGCATAATAATGTCCTCCAAATAAGATAATAGATGCTCCACTCAAAGTTGCTGAATGTCCTCCTCTAGCACAAGGAGGAACTCCCTCAATCAATGGTTCTGCCCATTACCATTTTCTTTGATCAAATGGTTAGTATTTAAAGCCTTATTATTATAAGTAATTACTTTATTAATCTTCTTATTATTCTTCTGGTTAATATTCTTGATAATCATCTTGCTGTTACAAATCTTAATCTTAATCTTCATCATCATAATATTGTTATTCTTCCATATCAACATCTTAACCATCTCCTTAGTAATTTTCATTGTATTCTGCATTGTTTCCAGAATACTAAGAACCATCTCTATCATCAGAGTACATGATTATAAATTATTTTAATATTAAAATAGAAACTTATGTACTGAATGATTATACTCATAAAAACAATTCTTCTTCTCTTTTAATCAAATTGCTTGTTAAATCAATCAGATTTAAGACTTTATTTACATTATCACCCCATTCTTACAAAACATCATTTTCATTCTTCTTTAACTAGTAATCAACTATTCCTTAAATTCGATCAATTTTGCAATTAAGTAACTTAAATGATTTAAAATAAAATAATACTTTTTAATCCATCATAATACAAATTTCTTCTTCCAATTCTTAGGTACTAATTCCAATTAATTCTGTTATTCTATTAAGATATACAGAATCATAATAGATCTAAAAAATTCTTAAATTATGATGAATTAATTATCTTCTAAAGTCTAAGAATATTATATTTAATTATTACCTTTATATCTTTATTAATTATTCTCTATACCTTCATCAAATATTTCAGCTGCTTGGATATTATGAGTTTATGGTTCAGTACTAATCAATTCAGTTCCTAAAAAAGCTTAAATCAATTATTATAAATTAGGTAATGCTTCTAGACCATATTTATATGTTGTTATAATATTCTATAATTATTTTTACTAATTTATATTATTTTATGATATACCTTATCATCAGAATATTGACTTAATATTGTATATAAAGCATAATTTTCTAAGATTGTATTATAATCAATTTTGAAATTGAAATCAACTTTTGTTGCTTCTAATTATCTATTTTTATGCAATGATTCTAATATTTTAGAATAAGCATGAGCTGTTTCTTGATAATTATTTTCATGTCTATAATAAATAACTAAGAATGAATAATAAATAATCTTAAGATCTGCAATAATATCATCTTCAATATTTTTTGGTTCAATCTTCTTTGAGATTATGAATAATCTAACATAATCTAATTTCTTAATCATAATTTTCATTTAATATAAAATAAATTCTAATTTTTCTCTTTTATCCATAGATCCATAAGTTTCAACTTAAACTTCTTATAATATTTTGGCAGCATCAGCAATTTAATTATCATCTTCTTTATATTATGTGAGCATCAATACACAACGAGCATACTCAACTTCTAAGTAAATCTTCTTTTCACATACTTTCATAATGGCATCTATCATTTCCAATTTTTAATTTATTGTAAGTGTCTTTAATTCAGCCATAGCCATTTAAACAAGTTCAATTTATGCTTTTTTTGGTTATCCTCTCTTTTTACTAAGTGATACTATTAATTCATTAAATTTTGAGTATTATTTTGTATCAAAACACAATCTAGCAATTTATTTAGTGACTTTAAGTGTTTCAACTAAATTATTGGCTAAACGTGCTGTCTTTTCTTTATTTAAGAGATCATCTATTTGTTTATCAAATTCATTTTCTTCAATGATCATTTGGATTTAAATTTAATTTAATGAATACCAATCTGAATTATTTTAATAATGATTTATGAAGGTAAATAGTCTATTTTCAGCCATTAAGATTAGTATGCTCTAATTAGATTGGTTAATTCTGAAGATGATGCAACTACAAAGAAACATGAAGAAGGTAAGACTACATTCACATTAAAAATGGCAAAATATTTATCAACTTCTGGAATTGGAGATTATTTAGATGGAATCAATGTGCTTTTGAGTTTTTTATTAACAGTATTACATCTAATTGATTGTTCATTTTGGGTTTAAGGTGGAACTTATGATGTTGGAGAAGCATAAACATTTATTACAGTAATATAAATCACATTAAAAGTTTCTAGATTCCTGAATTGATATGTTATATATATTTCTTGCTTGATTTTGCTATTAATTTTTACCTTTCAGAAAATAAATTGTTCTTTACTTTTTAAACAACATCATTAATTGAATATGTTTCAATATTTCCATCATTGCTTGCTAGATTAAATATTATTACTGGATACAAATATATATATTTATTGAGAGTATTGCGTTTTTTATTATGCTATAAATTAGATAAAGTATTATAGAGATTATCAATGGAAGGTATTAAATTGATTTAATTTAGAGTATTTAGGTTGGCATACAAACCAATTGTAACAGTCATGGCAATAATAATGATCAATTCTTCAGTTCTTTATGTAGTTGAACAAGATTACTCAATAGTTGAATATATTTATTTTATGGTAGTAACAATTTCAACAGTGGGATTTGGTGATGTATATCCAACAACAATTTATGGAAGATTTTCAATTATTATTGCTATTTTGATTATGTTTCTAGTTTTACCAACTCAAGTTGAAATGTTAACTAGAGTATACAGTTTAAGAAGTTAATATGCAAGAAATAAATATATTTCAAAAAAAGAATCAGAACATGTATTATTGTTAGGGTCATCTTAAGTTGAAGGATTTAAAACATTTTTAAATGAACTTTATCATAGTGATCATGGAATGAATGATACAAATACTGTTATACTTTAACCATAAGCACCTACTGAAGAAATGACTCTTTAATTGAAATAACCAGCATTATAATCAAGAGTAATTTATTTAGAAGGACATCCATTATAAAATAAAGATTTAGAGAGATGCAGTTCAAAAGATTGCAATTGTGTTATTGTTTTAGCAAATAAAACAAGTAGAACACCAAAAAGAGATGATTATCGTAATATCATTCATGCATTTGCTGTTAAATAATTTGCAAAGAAATAGAAATCCAGAAAAGGTGCACGAGTATGTTTGTAAGTACTTCAACCTTCTAGTAAAGATTTATATTTCAATTCTCTTGGTGGTCATGAAACTGATTAAGTTATTTGTGTTGATGAACTTAAACTTTATCTTTTAGGAAAAACATGTTTATGTCCTGGTATTAACACACTTATTTCATTTCTAATTTAATCATCCAAACCCTCTTATGATATTACAAAATATGATAAAAATAAGGGGGAATGGATTGATGATTATTTATGTGGAATGCAAAATGAAATCTATAGAGTTCCATTAGAGTCTGAAGCATTTGTTGGCCTAACATTTAGTTAAGTAATTTAGAGTTTAAATAGAATAGATTTCTTAAGCAATATATAAAGAGTTAAATATTATTTTATTTGCTCTAGAAGTAGAATTAGAATCAGGCACTAGTGTATTTGTTAATCCAGCTGAATATCTATTTGAAGATTACTTACATTATGGTTATGTAATTGCTAATGAAATGCCTAACATTGATTAAATTTAATAAACTAAATTCCCTGAATACATTTAAAAGAACTATTGCTTTCCTAATGTTCAAAGACAATAAAATAATAAAAATGCTATCTAATAAGAAGCTGAATATTTAAAGGAAATATTAAGTGAAGGTATTAAAGATGATTCTTCTAAACATCCTGCCTATTATTAAGTTAAACCTTAAACAATCACAACAGGACTTCCTAAAGTGGGAGACCAAGAAAAATTTGAAAATCATTTTATTGTATGTGGTGTTGTTTCAGATATGAAATATCTTATGATGCCATTAAGAGCTAGATCCTTAAAAAATATTTAACCAATTGTAATATTGAATTAAGATTTAATACCAACTGAAATTTAACTATAAATTAATAAATTTCCTAAAGTTTATTTTCAATAAGGATCTCCTCTTAATACTGAAGATTTAAAAAAAGCCTGTATTTAAAAGGCTTCAGCTTTAGTGATCTTATAAAAATCTGCTGATTAAGAGGAAGGATTATCTAATATTGTTGATGCTGATACAATCTTTATATATAAGACAGTAAAGTTATTAAATTAAAATATAAACATAATAACTGAATTAGCTTCTATTTCAACTATTTCTTTTTTATAGATATCTAGAAATAATTATGTTTAGAAATATGATTGGTCTGTGAGTGAACCATTTGCCTCTGGAGAAATTTATATTTCAACTATGCTTGATACATTAATATGCTAAGCCTATTATAATCCTTTTATCACTAGTATTTTTGATTAGATGATTTTAGGAAGTGCTACAGTTAACAAAAAGGTAATAATAATAATATTTATTTTAAATAGAATAAAAAAATATATTAAGCAAGTAAATTACAATAAAGTAATTTATTTCTTATTAATATACCTCCAAAATATTAAGAAAAAACATTTGGAGAACTTTTTGAAATATTACTTACTGAATAAAAGATGATTCCAATTGGACTTTATAGAGGAGAAAAAGTTAAAAATAATAATAAACCTTATGTTTTTTTAAAACCTCCTATGGATGTTATTGTGTCAAGCAAAGATAGAGTTTATGTCTTAAGTGCCAAACAGCCTAAAGAATAAGAAACAACTCTTGATAATTAAATCAATTAAGGAAAAGAATCTGCATCATAATATTTTAATATAAAATCTAAATTATAAGGAGAAGAAGGTAGAGTTGATATAGAATTTTCAAGAGAATTAATGAAATTTAATGAGAAAATGAAGAATTTTGGAACAGGACTAAAATAAATAAATAGTTCTGTCTTTAATTAAGGATTGATTCAAGAAGGTATTAAGATAAAATAATTAGATTTCATACCAAAAATACGATCATTATTAAAATAAGAATTAGCCAGTCTAAATCCATAAACTTGATAATTAATAATAATCACTATTATATATATATATATAATTATAAATAAATAAAGTATTTAAATCATTTTTAAACTTTTGTTAAAATCGAATACATTGCATTAATATGACAGAGTGTCTATTTTTACAAACTTTTAATAATAAACTCTCTTGAATATCCAAACTACTCTATTTAAGAAATAATTCTCAAATCCAAATTAGCATTTTATGTTGACATTTTATTTGATTTCAAATTTAATTCTTTAAGCCAAGGATGATTTAAAATCTCAGTTGATGTTATTCTCAATTTAGGATTCACATTTAATATAGATTTTATAAGATCTATTAAAATCATTAAATTAATAATTACCAACAGCATCATTAGATAAGTTTAATTTCTTCATTTCCATAAAATTAAGTAGACCATTTTAAATATTATGATTTAATTCATTCATATTATTTCCTTTAAATGGTACTTTTCCAACAAGTAAAATGTAAAGCAAAACCCCTGAACTCCATATATCACTTGCAAATCCATCATATCCTGTTTTATTTTATATTACTTCTGGTGCTAAATAAGCAGGAGTTCCACATTATTCCAATATCTTTTATCCTTTAATAATTTGTCTACTAACTCCAAAATCACAGATCTTTATTTATTCTCCCTAAAGTAGTATATTATCTAATTTAATATCTCTATGCAATATATTATGACTTTAAAGTATCTACAAAGCTATAATTAATTGACTAAATAAATTTTTTGCTTATCCTTCAGGTATAGGTTTCTCCTTTGTCCATTTCATTAGGTCTCCTCCTTCAACATATTCCATTATTATATAAATCTACTTTTTTGTCTCAAATACTTCAAAAAGGGAAGCAAACTATTAATATTACTATAGGATTTTCATCAAAGTAATTTCCTTATAAAAATAGATATAAGGTATTACTAACAACAATCTTTTTTTAGCACTTTCTGTTTTTAGTGTTGATTTTTCAATTATTTTCATAGCCACTTTTGCACCTGTTAATATTTGGATACCTAAACATACTTTTGCAAATGCTCCCTTGCCTATCACATAACAGAGCTATCTTACTAAGGTTAGAGATGCGATACCTTATAAAAATCTGGTGTTGTAATTGGAATGCGTTTCTTTGTTTTAACAGTATATGCAATTCGATTGGCAAGAATTATTCGTTCTTTAATTATATCTTCAGTTGTAGGAAATTGAATATCTGGTAATTAGAGCATAAAATCTTGACAATCCAATAGTTCAGTCTCCATTCTACCAAAATCAGGTAGCATCTTTGGAAAGCTCTCTTCTTTACTTATTTGGCTGTTGGATCGTGATTTTTGAGTTGTTTGTTAACTTCTAGATGTTGCTTTATTTCCTAGATCAATTTTAACTTTTCCTAATTTGGAAATTGGTTTTGAATTAGACATAGAGACAGATTCTGAATTTTTTGTAGGAACAGGTAACCTAATAATTAATATTACTATTCTACTTAATGGCTGGACATAATTTAGTAACAGATCTAGAACGGTCTGTTGAATTCTTGGAAACCTAATTTGAGATACTCCTAGTACGAGTGTTTGTAGATTAAGTGTTAAAATTGATGCATTTGACAGAGATATGTTTTTTCAGTTGATTCATTTTATAACAGATAAATTTTAATTATTCTAAATCGAGCAACTCAAACAATCCCAAATAGCACTAACATTAAAATAAAGAATCAATAAAGGAAATTATTTAACTATAGCTTTTAAATTATGTTTATGAATTCATCTATATTATCAAAATATATTATTAACAAATTATATTACATTATTTCAAAAGAATAAATAAAAACAATTAGATAAAACATATATTGATAAAAAAATTATGAAAATAAAAATCACATATCTAAGAATTCTTGTAATGATAATCTACCATCTTTGTCTTTATCATAGGCATTTATAAGAAGTATTGCTTCATGATGAGTGTATCTAAGTCCACTTTCATAAAGATATTATTAAAGCTAAATATAATAAAAATACAATACATCTGAAACTCCAATAAAATTATCTCTTGTAATACCATCAATTTTATTGAATAATTAAATATCAGCATTTAATTTTACTGGAATTTATTACAATAAATTTAATAGATCAATGAGTAATTTTATAGTTTAATAGCTAAATAGTTTACTTATCTTTTTCTTATTTCCATCAATATTTGGTTATCTGGTATTAAGTATTTCAGCAAAATTAGCAGAATAAGGTTATAGAAGATATAAAAAATCATGATATGTTAATTAGTTATTGTTGAATCTCTTAAAAATCTGAATACTTTAACCTGATTTTTAATTAAGTAGAGTGTCAATTTCTTCAATTCCTATTGATCCTTTACTATAAACATCTAATGCTCGAAATGCATCCAAAGTATTAAAATCTTTTTACAAAGCTAACTATTGTTTTATTTTTTCTATTTTTATTTCTTTGTCTAATAAATATTCAATAATTTCTTAAGGTTATTTTGATTTATTTTTTGTTTAAGTATTAATATTCTTTTTATTTTTTTAAACTTCTATAATCTTTTTCTTTTCAGTTTCAACTTCTTATTTATTTTAAGTCATTTTTGTTTTATTATCTTATTTTTATTTTTAACAAGCCATCACTTATTTTTTAGATTTTTACATTTGTATTTGATTTCTTTTTTAAGGAGATTATTTTATTAATTTAATTGTGTTATTCTTAGATTCTTTTTTTTCTGTTGTTTTAATTGAATTCTAAAATTGTATTTATTTTTTAGGAGTAACAAATACAGAACAAGATTCTTTTTATTATTTTATTTGAGTTTATTTATTTAGGATAAGTACCCAATTATTTAACAATAATAAATCAATTTAACCATCACCATAAAAGTCTAATCTCTTTATCATTGCATCAATCTCATCTTAATATACAAATAGTCTTTCCTTTTTAAATAATTATTCAATATCTTCTCTAGTTCCATCAGTTAATTAATCTAATGATTAGGGAGGTTGTAAATTATTCATTAAAACAATTTCTAAGCTAATATGTTTTGCTATTTCCTTTAAGCATTCATTAGATTATTAGGATTGTTAATCTGAGTGAGAGATATAATCTCTTAACAGTTGATTTGTTGGAAGTAGAAATCTTAAAAAGTCTACATATTTAAATTCTGGTTTGTAGAATAATATACCACATTCCTTAAGTGTATGCAAATAACCAAATCGATGTAGAAAAACTTAAATTGTCTATGCTGTAATATAACCCTAAATGTCATAACTAATATAATACATCATTAAGTTGATCAATTTATTTAAAAGCTTGATAAGGATGAAAAGTAGGGAATTTTATTAAAAACTATCTACTTATTTCAATGGTTCTTTCGATTTTAGCACATTCCATTAGAAAATCCAATAATTCCATTAAATCAGACAAAATAAATATTAGAGATAAATCAAAGAAAAACTCAATTATTTCTCATCATAATTCCATACATTAAATTAAGAAGATTGATCTTAAAAATAAACTAAATAGAGAAGAATAGTTTGAATGATAATTTTTAACATAAAATATTCATAACAAATTTGATTTATAAAGAAATGAGGAGAAGCAACAGTTCTTTTGGTTAATAAGAAACTGTTTATCAAATTTCAAAACCAAATTCAATGTAAGAAATTAATTGTAAGACATTAACACTAAATAAGCATCTATATGCTTAAGTTAGGGTTATCAATAAAATAGTTCATTAAATTAGTTATATGCAAATAGATTCCTTGGTGAATGGAATGAAGATAAGTACACAGTTACTAGAAAATATGTACCCACTTACACTAATGGTTTAAATTTATATACTACATATTGTACTCCATAAAATCCATTTGCTAGTATTGTGATCATACATGGATATGGAGATCATTCAGGAAGATATTTCCATGTATTTTATATGAATAATTAGATAAGGTTGCTGATGAGTATGCTAAATCAGGATTTTAAGTTATTCTTTATGATTAAAGAGGATTTGGAAATTCTGGAGGTATTAGAAGTCATGGTCACATTAAATAGATGCATTAAGATCTGGAATGCATATTATTGACTATAGAAAGATCATTACCAATCTTTTTACAATGTTAATCATTAGGAGCTGCAGTTGGCTTAAGTTTTTGTATTTCCAATCCTACCTTAATTCTATAAGGTGTTATTGTTGTCAATCCATATTTGTAATTTGCTTAGAAATATGGATTACTAAAAAAGACATTACTAACATTAATGAATAAGATTATTCCAGTAAAATACAAATAAATAATAGGGATTAATGGTCAATTCTTATATAGATTTTGGTCATTGTAGTAAAAATAACAATGTCATAAAAACAGTAGCTGAGGATAGTTTAGTATAACCATTTATGAGCATTGGAATGGCTTATAATATTTTATAATTAGAATAGTACATCTTACCTAATGTATAATAGTATAAGATTTGATAAATAATTTTTAGATTTGTTTAACCACTCTTAATTTTACATGGTAAAGAAGATAAAGTAGCTAGTCATATGAATTCTGTTGAGCTTTATAGACTTGCTGGATCAAAAGATAAAACTTTAAAATTATTTGATAAAGGATTTCATGAATTATAAAATGATATTGAATTTGAGAGAGTCAAAAACATCATAACTATATGGTGTTAGAAATAGATTAATAAAGATAAAAGAATAAGTATTTTTTAAATTAATTTATATTAAGGTTATTTTAGAGAATTGAATCATGGTTTAGTATCAAAATATAATCATAATAGTACAAAAATGATAATATTTTAATGGATATTGATATATTTTATGTTAAGAAAGTATTAATCAATTAGATAAATTAGTAAAATGAAAAATCTAGGACGAATAGCACGATTTATTTGTATATTAGCCTTAATGATTGCTTCATTAATTGTACATATTAGATGGTGATTTATAATTTATACGTATCAACTTATAAAATAGTTTTTTAACTAAAGTATTTGTTTAATCAAATACAATAAAAAATCTACCAAAATAAAAGGCTAGTATATTTATATATAACGTCATGGCATCTATAATTTAAAAAATATTAGTTTTATATTTTATTAATTCCAAATGTTTTTTTAAGATTAAAAAATGTATTATATTTATCCTAATTTGATATCAGAATTTATGATATAGAATAATTTAAAAAGAAAAATTAAAATAATATAAAAATTTATTCTGTTTATTCAAGTTATGAAGATAATTTAATTTTGTTTATTATTGCATTATTAAAATTATAATATTAAATAAAATGTCCAATTTTTAAAACTTAAACAACAACTCAGGAGATTTAAATGAATACCAAAGTGATGATGAATTTGATTTTGAAAATTTAGAAATACCTTAATTAGTAAGAAGAAATGGTGCAGTTCAATCAGAAAATGTTCAAGGGTTCTTAATACTTGATAAAATGTCTGATAAAATGTATAAAGAAGCTGCTTGTCCAATTTGTTTATGTGAAGATGAAGAATTATACCCATTGTTTTGCGGTCATACTTTTTGTTAGGACGACATCAATAATTTACTATCTGATTCCGAGTTAAAGCAGAATATAGTTTGTTGCCCAATATGCAGATAATACTAATTTATCGAGTCATTTAAATAATTATAAGAACTAAAAATTACTCAGATCAATACCGTTTAAAAAGATAACAATTTAACCTGTTGAAATTTAAACTATAAATTTTGTTTTTGTACACATAGTTATATACACTTAATATTTTCTCACAACTTCTTATGCTTAAATCTTACATTTAAATTCAACCGTGTGTTGAAATTAAATAAATTTTAATTCTTTTATTTCTAATACACATTCTAATTTCTAAAAATTTTAATTATATTACAATTGTTAAAGCAATCCCCTTCAAATGCCATTAAATAATTCCTATTTATTCATTTAATTGTTTGTACAATTCATTTAAATTTTTCTAAAAAACTAGAAATTTCTTGTAATTAAAATTCCTAATTCATGTTCCATTCTTATAAAAAGTACAAGAGTCTTAAACTACCTTACAATTTTTAAGACAACAATCCTTTTTGTTATGCCATTTCATTTTATATTTTGTGAAACTTTTAATTTTTCCATTACTTTTCTAATATATTATAACATATTGGTATAGATGATGTTAATCGTTAATCTCTATTAATCATAGACAGCTAAGTTCTAATTGATAATTTTTATTCCAAATTATCTGATTAATAACACTTATTGGTTGGTAAAGATCTATTAATCCATTAGATGACTTATTATTTGTCTATAAAGAGTTATTCAAAAGGATTTATCAACATGGAATAGATTATAGAGACTTTATAGAACAATTTAAATTTCTGTTTTATCATAATTAAATATTAAATATTGAAATAATTTAATTATCAACTGATAAGTTAATAAATGAGCCAGCTGTTGTCTAATACTACTAATATTGAAAATAATATTTCACATGATGAGGATTTATCTGATTATGATGATGTAGAACTTCCAAAAATGTAAAGGATGAATGCTTTAATCGTCTTTGACTAATAAGTTGAAAAATAAATACAGAATTTTGTTCCTAAGAATTATACTAAAATATATTATTCTGAAAATTGTCCAATATGTTTAGAAAAAAAAAAATTGATTCCATTACAATGTGGACATACTTTTTGCTTTGAAGACATATAACAATTAATTATTTAGGCTCGAAAAGAAAATAGAAATATATCTTGTTGCATTTGTAGAACTGAACTGAATCCCTGTGTTTATTTTGATAACTAGTTAATTAATTCTTTTCTAATTGTTAGATGATAAATTGAAAATAAGACTTGATTATTTCTATTAGATAATAATATAAATATAAATAATGTTTCATTAAAAATAATCAATTAGACCTATTCAATAAATTAAATAGGAAAAATGCTTGAATTGCAATAAATTAATTAGTTAATCTCTGATTCGGAATCATTAAGCAATTTGTGCAATTACCATATCAAATAAGGATTAAGAATTATTGGATGAGCAATTAGCTATGCTTATTCAATAAAATAAAATAGAATCAAAGATATTTTTGTTGCCAAACCCATCTGATTCTATTTAATAAACTAAAACTTAACAGGAAATTCAGATTGAAAATAAAGAAGTTCCATCTTAAATAAAACAAGTCTTTTAGTCCAATAATCTAAATGGTTAATATAAAGAAGCTATCTTTAGACAAGTAAGAATGCATTAACAAAACCTAGGAATAAAGAGAATTTAATGATGATTTAAATTTCTAAAAAAATGAATTAAAAAATAAACACAACCTTACTTCTTAAGAATAGATTGAAAAGAATATATAAAAAAACGATTTAAACTCTTAATAAATCTAACAAAATATGGTATTTAATACAGTGTAATCTTAAGTTCAAGCTTTTAAAAATTCATAAAAATGTACTATTTAAAATTCTAAATAATAAGAGGCTGCTTAAAGAGATTTCGATTATGCTTAAAATAATTCTATTCAAAAAAATCTAGAAAATTAATCAGCAGACAACCCTTAAATAATTGTTTAGCATCATAATAATTAAATTTCAAGAAATATATAAGTTGAAAAATAATAGTAAGTACAAAATTATCCTCAAAATAATTATTGTTAAATGAAAAATGAAGAACTAATAAAACAAAGACAAATATCAGATGAGAAAAAATTAGAAAATGGTTAATTTGACAAAGCTAATTAATTAAATTAATTTAATGGATTCAATTATGAATAAATAAACTAAATTTATTCATTAAATAATCATCATGAAAGGTATTCTCTAAAAGATAAATAATAAAATTAAAATATTCATTAATAATAAAAATACTAAATGTATCCTTCTTAAGCTTATTAGTACAGTAAACCTCGAGTAATTTAAGCAATTCCATTTGAATAAAATAATATAAGACTTTTGTAGTCATAGAAATAATAATAATAACAATAATAATAATAATAATAATAATAATAATAATAATAATAATAATAATAATAATAATAATAATAATAATAATAATAATAATAATAATAATAATAATAATAATAATAATAATAATAATAATAATAATAATAATAATAATAATAATAATAATAATAATAATAATAATAATAATAATAATAATAATAATAATAATAATAATAATAATAATAATAATAATAATAATAATAATAATAATAATAATAATAATAATAATAATAATAATAATAATAATAATAATAATAATAATAATAATAATAATAATAATAATAATAATAATAATAATAATAATAATAATAATAATAATAATAATAATAATAATAATAATAATAATAATAATAATAATAATAATAATAATAATAATAATAATAATAATAATAATAATAATAATAATAATAATAATAATAATAATAATAATAATAATAATAATAATAATAATAATAATAATAATAATAATAATAATAATAATAATAATAATAATAATAATAATAATAATAATAATAATAATAATAATAATAATAATAATAATAATAATAATAATAGAAATATTAATCATAGTAGTAATAATAATAATTGTAATAAAAATAATAATTATAGTAGTAATAGTAATAATAATAATAATAGTAGTTACAGTAATAATAGTAATAATAATAGTAACAGTAAAAGTAGTAATTATAGTAAGAATAGTAACAATAACATATTTAAATAGAGTCTTAACAGTTATAGATTAATTAATCATTATAATAAAACTAATTATAATCTTAACCTTAAAAATAAACTCAATTTTAATAACATTAGAAATAATAACAATAAAATCGATTATTAGAGCATGATAAATAATTTAAGTAAGACATTAAAAATATTAAAATTAAATAAGAAGAACCAAAAAATAATGATTTAAAAATTTAAAATTTAAATAATTAAGATAATTTTTAATATTTAATTGCAGAATAAATGGTTTTAGAAGAAAGACCTCATATTTAAAAGGTTAGCATCGATTATAAACTTTATTAGAATTCCAAAAAGATTGAAACTTAAGTTTAATAAAAGTAAACAAATAAATAAAGGTACATATATAACATAATAAAGTTAAAAATAAGCTCCAAGTAGATAAGAATAAGTTAAAAAAAAGAAAGATAATACATCGAATAAAAACAGAAAAGCAAATGAAGATAAAATTAATTTATAATTTGAATACAAACCTGGTATGGTGATTACTGATGACCTAGTGAATTAAATGTCTCCTGAATAAATTTATGAATTGTTTACTTAATTAGATTTAGATAATTAGGTTGGATTAGAAAGCAAAATATTTAATTTAGATATGAAAAGAGTATAAATAAATGCTACAGATACTTGTACTATTTGTATGGAAGATATATAACCCTAAAAGGAAGCTGCAGATATAAGATTAGATTGTAATCATTAATTTCACTATGATTGTATCAAATAATGGTTATTGAAATCAAAATTCTGCCCAGTTTGTAAGGAAGATGTTGATCTTACAAATTACTAATATCTTGAATGATTAATAAAAAAAATAAAATTATTTTTTAAATTTTTATGACGCACATATATTTTAGAAATAAATATTCTTTTGTAAAAAAATAAAAATTATAATATAAATTTGAAATTGGATATGCAATAGATTTCTCCAGAAGTTGAGCTCTACCTACAAGAAGCAGTCAAGCCACTCCTTGAGAAAATTGAAGAATTAAAATAAAAGGATTAATAGAATGAAGATCAAATCAAATTTCTTACAGGAGAAATCAGTCAACTCAAGACATTAGTTTCTACTCTTAAGCCATTTGATGACAAAAGTATCATGATTTAAATTATAATTAGAATAAGGAAAGCAATAATAGAAACAAGAAAATAATGGTAACAATAATGGTAAAAATGATTATATCTGGAAAATTAGATCATAAAAAGCCAGAACGACCTCAAACAGCAATTTAATAAAAAACTGAGTAAAATAAATAAAAGGAATAAAAACCATAAACAGGAAGCAAGAATTTAAGCCAAAGTGTAATAGTAGATAAGACAACTAAGAATGAAGCGGAAAACAGTAAATTGATCATTAAAAATTTAGCTACTTCAAAATCTCCAGGATAACCTATTGAAAAGCAACCTAAAACTACGTAATAACATTAGTAGTAACCTCAATAGCTTAAACAAAAGCCTGTTAAGTAGCCAGAATAAAAGGATTAAAAAGAAACAAAGACTTCAAATTAAGGTATATTGTTATATTTTATTTAGATTAACAATAAAAATAAGCAAATCCTTAGAAGGATGAGAAAAAGGAAGAAAAGAAAGAAGAAAAGAAGGATGAAAAGAAAGTTGATAAAAATAAACCAAATAAATAACCTTAATAACCTTAAACAGATAAAACAAAAGAGCCACCAAAAAAGAATGAAAAACAACAAGAATAAAAATCGAATGGAGCATAAAAAAATACTAATTCTAAATAACCAGAAAAAAAAGTGGAAACTAAATAAGATGAGAAAAAAATAGTTAAAAAAGGTTCAAAAACAGTATCTTAACCTGGAAATTAACATTAAACTGATGAATAATTTTAATAAGAATAATAGAAAGCATAAGTATCTTAAGAATAACATTCAGCCGAGAAATCTTCAAAAGAAAACCATTCTGAATAGAATGATCAATAATAAGATAATCATTAAGAATAAGTTACCTAATAATAAGAAGTTGTTTAAAATTAAGAAGAATAGAACTAATTTAAGAATGATAATGTTAACAATTAAGAACAAAAAGAGGATGAAGATTTGTTAGCAGATAATCATTAAGATGATAATTAAAAAAGTGAACCAATCTAAGAGAATCAATAGCAGGATATGTTTTGAGTTATTACAATTTATAGTGGAGAAAAATATTATTATTATTAATATTTTTATAAATATATATATATAAAAATAAGAAAGCTGATTATATGCAAAGTAACATTAATTAAGTAGATTTACATAAAAAAAAATACTATGATTGAAATAAAACTAAAAGACGGATCAAAATAAAATAACAATTCAAATCTATTCCCATAACTACATGTTTTTATTTAGGGAATAAACAATTGCAATGTTAAAATGCCTTATCTTAATCTATTTAATATTTATAGCCTTCTAATTCTAGACTGCTTTTTTAGCTAAAACAGAGGCTTTTATAGAAATGAAAATTTGTGCACCAGAATATAAATAAAATTCATGTTCTGATATTTTATTTTAGATTCTTTGGTTTAAAAATGCAAGGAACTAGAAATTTGCATAACCAAGATTTAGTAATGAAAGTTAGAACCAAAAAGCTTTAGCTTAAAGTAATGTAAATTCCATTGTAAGGTTTTTTAAGGATCTTTCTATAAAAATATGCTTGTGTGTGTGTAATGCTAAGTTTAATTGTATTAATTTCAAGTATTGAAAAGTTGATTATTAATATAAATTGAGTTTTTAATAATTGTTCTCAATTTTAATAACATTTAATGTTTCGAGGCAATTTTAATAGATAATCTCTTAAGCCATAAGTGGTTACTTTTTAAAATGTTCTGGACTAAGTCAATGCTCTTGATCATAGAGCTCTTAGTGTAATAATATATTTCATTCAATGTAGCTTTTACAAAAAATGGTTAATCCATCTTAAATGAATATTTTTGCAACTGCTGCTCTTGTCTCCTTGTTTGCAGGTCTTATACGAGAGATACCTTGTGAATTATTGGATGAAAAGGTAAATCAATTTATTAATATAGAAACTTAATTGGAGTTTATTAAATATGTTTTTAAATGATGTTGAGAAATTCTTAGAAAACTTAAAGAAATTTAAAGACTTTATTAATAAAAATTAGATTACATCAAAAAATATGCAAATAGCTAATTATTGGATTCAAAAATATAATGAAATATAATAAGAGTAAAATCAATTCATTAATTTAGTAATTAATATTCAGTTTCATATGCATTCATTTAAATTACATAAATGATAATAAAACTTGATAAATAACTTAATTAGAGATTGCCTTCAAGTCCTGCAAGGTCTTTGTCTGCGTCACCAAGCCCAAAGATGCATGATACTGATGATATTGATGAAATCGATGAAATTAAAACCTAAGCTGAAAGAATGAGTGTAAGAGATCCAGCAAAAACAAAAGGGTTGAAACTCTAAATAGTCCCAAATAAACCTATCTAATAAACACCTTCACATAAACACACATAAAGCCAATAAATAAAATAAATCCCATCTATTCATGCCCCAATTATTCCAAAAAAGAAATGACAATAAAATGATTATAGGTCTGAAAATATTTATATAAAATTGATTTAGTACATATTAGTGTTTTCTAATTTTTTTAATTTTTTTAATTTTTAGTATTTCTTCATTTATTTATTTGAGTGTAAGAGTATAAATAAGTAAATCTTATTTAGATATTAAAATGAATTAAAATTAATGCAATTTATAATTTCATTCAGAAGCTATCAATTGATTAATTTGGTAACCTATCAGAACATTCATTTTATGTAATATTAAATATAGTATTCTACTGGATTAAATAATTTGAGATAATAAATAAAATATATAGATTATTATAAATTTTAAGAAATGTGATTATAATTTTATCCTATTTTTTCTAGGATACCACTAAACTGAAATGTCTCTAGTTTTAGAAAAACCATTATCACTTCCATGACATTATTATTTTATATTTATAAATCAATCTATAGAATTATGCAATAATTAGTTGACTTTAATTCTTTAACCTGAATAATTTTGCTATAAATTTAGATAGAACATATTATCTCTAGGGGCTATTTATTTATTAAAATTACTTTTATTTTTTAGTTAAGGTATTAGAGAGAATGGAGGATCATCAATCTTATGAACAGAGGAACTTCTATACATTCTTTTTAACTATCTTATAATTGGTTTTGGTGTATGAAAATTCTATAAGATGTTTTTTTATAAGGTTAATTCTTATCTAGAACCACTGCCTAGTTAATTGAAGGATTGCTATTATTATTAAGTTAATCCCAAAGAAAATTGTTATTAAACCATAATTTGAGAAGTATTGGGTCTTATTTATTGTGATTTTGTTTATTCAGATTTTCGATCCATTTATCTTGTTTTTGTTAAACGCAAAGCATTTTATTATTTTAAGGAATGTTATTAAACAAGCATTTTTTGTTATGTTTTTTAAAGTAAAATATATGGATCAAAAGTTGAATCCATATGATTCATAGAATTTGAATTTGAATTCGAATTATTTAATTGATGTTGATCTTGTCGTTTTTTAACCTTAAGATGCTTTTATCTGAAGTATTATTAAATGAAGGTAGGCATTTTTTTATAAGATAAGTTTCCTAATAGAGCTCCAAATTGATCATCATTAGTTTAGCTTTGTTAATCTTGACAAGCAGAAGGTTATTTAGAAAGTACTTTAAAAGAAATAGTTTTCTTTATATCTTAATTTAGCATTTGATCTTTATTTGTATTTTACCAATTTTTTTCTAATTCTTGACATTTTTATTTATAAATTTCATCTCTCAAAATAGTTTTATCTTTAAACATTTTACATACTGATTGAAAAACTTATGGAGAAATATTTTTAAGTTGTTATATTGATATCATTAATAGAGAAGCATATTTTGATATTACTTAAACATTATATAAAGCTTTTTCTTATTGAGTGAATTCTTCTCCTAAAACACCTTGATCATTTAATTCACATATTACAATTTCATTAAACCAAAATTTTCTAGGTAATACTTATTTTTCATAATGAGATAGAGTTTTCTAATAATTTTTGCTTAAACTTAAAACTCCATATTATAAAATAAATAATGAATTTCCAGGTTCATCCATTTTCTAAATGAAGTCTGTATGGGCAAATTTGACTTCCTAGAATTGTTTGATTAATTATTCTTATATTTTAGGAGCAATTTTTTCAATGATAGGTAAATTGGCTATAAGTGATTTTTTCTTTTATTAATACAAAACACCATGACTAGAACTAAACTTTTTATATAAATCAATTGGTAAAGCAAAACAATGAGTATCTTACTAAATTTGAATATAAATAAAATAATACTTTAACTTCAAAACCTAAATCTCCTTCATACCACATTTCAGGTTGAATTTATATATTGTCTTCTATTTAGAGTAATCCCTTTATTACATAGAATGCAAATTTATTATTTTATTAGACTACTTGACCAGTTTCAAAATAAACATATCCTATTGTTTTACATAACTATATTTTTAATTTAAAAGTACATCTTTCAAGACTTCATAGGGTGCTTGAAATTAAGGCAATTAACTCAAATGATCTTGAATAGCAGAAATGTCTTCTTGAGATTTGTTTAATTTAGTCAATTTTGGAATTAAATGCATAATAATATATATTTCATGGCAATCTAACAACCTAATCAGAATAAAGGATATATGGTAGAACAGACTCAGCCTTAATGTGATTTCCATTATTTAAAACAATTTACAATCTCACAAACATTTCTTTCCCATCAAAAGGGAGTTCAGGGAAATAAGCATAATTAGATCTTACATTTCCAATCCATTATTTATCACTATATAGTAATATATATTAATATACTTAAAAATTCTGATAGTTTTAAGAAGTGGTCCTAATTCACCTAATTCTAATTAAATATATAAATCATAGAGATTTGTAATACTTTCCTTTAACTAAATATTTTTAATATATTTAGTTGGATCTTTGAAATCTACATTAGCACTCTTCATTTATTCTGTATATTTATCATCATAAATAGCTAAACCTCCAATAAGGCCATCAACTGCTTATTATTATTAAGAAATATTTTCAATCTTTAGATATACAGATTTCAAACTTTTTCCTTAATTTAAAATTGTATATTATGCAATATCCCAACCCTTATTAGTTAATATTTTAGTTGGTTTAAAAATTTATAAACCCTTATCTGCAAATTTCATAACCAGACTTAACTGCAATATCTTTTTATCAAAATATTTCATATTAATACTTGCATTGATATTACCTTAAGGATCAATCCTAGTTTTATATAATTTAATAAGAAAACTTTTATGAACTTATAAATCTCCTTTAATTTTTATACAACTACTTCCATTCCACGAATCACTAAAATTTATACTACTTTCCCAATTATCTTGTATATCTTAGCTGATAATCTTTTTTGTTGGATAACATAAAGAATAATCAAAGTCATTCAAATTATCATAGTAACCCTTATAATGTGAATTCTTTTGACCATCAATATAATATGCTTCTCCAACAGCATTATTAAAATATGTTTATAAAGGAAATTCTTAATATGTTTTTGGTTTTAACATTCTCAATAGATCTTTATTACTGTCATAACTTATATAAACCATAGATTCACCAGTGAATTAAGTACCATAATTACCAGCCCAATATTCAACATCTTTTCCAACTTCTATAAATTTGACATATTATGTATCATCAGTAGTTTTAATACTTAAAGTATGTTCTCTCCATTTATCATCTGCAATATTAACAGAATCAACATTAAATTAAATTTCTCTCTTATTTACTTTTGTAGAAAATGAATCTATACTAGCAATACATCTATTATTTCTATCATATAATTCTATTCCAATAAGCTAATCAAAATATTATTATAAATTACATATAAATCATCAAATTTTGGACCTGTTCCTTTTACTTTTGCATTGAATTATATAATACCTCCTTTATTTGAAGATACTAAATTTAATTAAATTGTATATGTTCTGACACACCAATCAAATGATGAAATTGCAGTCTCTTCTCCATTTTCTTATATAATTTTCCATCCATTTCCTCCATTAAATGTGATTGCCCATTAATTTTTATGTTTATCAAACAAAGATACAGTATTTTTACCTTACCATAATGAATTATCATTTTAAATAAACTATGACCTACTATCATTTGAAGTCTCATATGTCCAAGCTTAACCAAAAATGGCTGTGGCTAATTATGCTCTTTTTATCTCTTATAATGCTATATAACTATCAAATTATCCACCTCCATATTGTCCTCTACCCCATATATCAATTCCTACAAAAACATTATTCCTCTAATTTCCAACATTCTTCTCTGTATTAGACAATTTATTCAAATTCCAATGATAATCACTAAAAAAATAATTGCAAGCTTAAAAGTATTTCATATTGTCTTAATTCAATTCAGATTACCATTTCAAATTTCCTTCAGCATTATGACTATCATAATATATTAAAATAGCTCCTATCTATTATAATTTATCACTTAATTCTTTTATAAATTGAATAAATAAATCTACATTATAAACATTTGTTTCTATATTCAATAAATAACCATCAAATTTATAGAATTAACAAATCTAAACTAGTTTATCTACATATTGTAAATTTAATATTTAATTAGTCAATGTGTTATCCTCCCCTTCTGTAATAATGGTTCCTAAAATCCTAGTACCAAATTAATGACAAATATTTATATATGGTACACTTGGAATTGTAATAAAAGTATGTGAAAAATACACAAAAATATCACAATGGGTCATGTAATAAAAGCGATAACTATTTTATCTCATTGGATTTCCAAAACACCATATATCTTCCTTATATCCACCTTACATATCATGACATACTAAGAGAGGTTAATTTGTTGTTCTTGTAATTTTCTTTAATTATTAAATTGGAAGTATTGTATATTCCTCATTAGGTTTCCAATTATCTAATTCTTCTATTGATTATAATGGTTTGCTAAATGGTAATTTATATTTTATCTATCCAATATCATTTAAATCATTAAGAATAGATTTTTAAATCTTTATTTCACCCTCCATTTGCATTTTTAATTCATTTTCTCTTACAAATCTTATCTATAAATTTCTAGTTATCCCTGTAAAAGCATTCAAATTACTTTTACTTCCTAAGAATATACCCACTTTATTAGATGTATAAGTGAATCTTTATTAAAGTTTTTAACTTTAAATACTGAAATTTGTAATTAAACTTATCTCATCATGGAATGATATAAATATTGGATACAACTTATATAAAATAATTTATTGGATCCCAAATTTGTAAGTATTATCTAAGTATTGAATTAAAAGTTCTCTTTATTTTAAAGTAATTTTAATCAAAGGATTTCCAAGGTTATCATGAATATCAATTAGTTCAATTATATTTTACTCTTATTCTGCTAAAATTAATTAAAATTAAATTATCCCAACATCAGATGGAGTAAGCTATGTTAAATTAAAACGAACATGTTCAGGTACTAATTTCAATTGCCCATCCCTTTTAAGTCCTGAATTTAAAAAATAATTGCTCATTTTTTTTCAATTAATTTTATTGTAAAAATAAATATTAAAACCTTAAATATAATGTTAAAAATACATAATATGTACTAGAATACAGATTTTGTATAATAATTCTTCTCTAAATCAATTGATAAAAATATGTAAAAATATTGGATACATCATAATTTAAGTAAATAGCTTTTCTAATTAAAACTAATAAATTAATTTTTATAACCATCTAATTTTGAGTCATTTTATTGAATTAAAAATAAATAAATAATTTTTACTAACTTAGGATGTAGACATAATATCTCACTTATATTATATTAAATTCCTATCTATATTAATAAAAATTAGAACCTAACCATTCAATTATAATTTTATAAATACAAATACATTAATAACATAATATTTTATTTCACTCCAAAAATATAATTATATTATAAGTTTGCAAGTTCATTTATTTAGAAATAATTGTTAATTAAGTGTGTAAATATGAAAAATACATCTAGATAATAAAGATGACATTATATATTAATCAAATAACATTCTTGATCAAAGAAAATGATTGTAGTTTTTACAAATATTAAATTATATTAATATATTATGAATATCAGACAATTAGATACTATTGTTTCTTGGTTACTCTAAAAATTTAAATATGCTCCTTATAGATGGAATGAACAACAAGTTCATTATTTTTGTGAGTTTGTTGGATTAACTTGGGCAATTCCAATTGTCACAGTAAATCAACAATAATTAATTGATTTTAGATTCAAACCATCCCCAAATAAAGATCATAAAATTACTAATAAGAAGTGTCAACTGATGGATAAAGATTATAAATTCCTTTACTTGATATTTGTACTAAACAATATGAACAGATTTTAGAAGTTTGCACCGCCTAAAATTTATTTAAGTTGATTAGTCATTCTATTGACATAAATCTCTATTATCAGATATAAAAATTAAAGATTTGGTCTCTTATATTATTGAAGTATCAGAATTATAGAGAAATTTTGAAAAAGCTTTATGGATCAAAATTATTTTTTCAATAGAAATGTAAAACTTGTACAGCAGAAATAAGTTGTTCATGTTCTGTTTTATCTAATATTATATATGAAATAGAGATTTATATAAAAAGTATATATGAAATGAAAACCATCTAAAATAATAATAGAAAGTCCTCTATTTTTATTAGTTCAGATATTATAAATCTTTTATTAAAATCCATATCTCATTTACCTTAAATTGATTAAACACCTTTGTTTTGGGATATGGATGATATTAAAGCTTTATTATTTGTAATTAAATTTCAAGATTATTACCCACTTCTTTATCAAAATTAGATAGATGGATTTGTTTTATTATTGTTAGTAAATCCTCCTTTTAAAGGTGAGGATTTATTTCTTAAATGTTTACTTTTAAATTAGGAAGATTCATCAAAAACTTAAAATGATTTAGTACGAAATAGATAAAGTATGGTTAGAGATACTATGTAAACAGCTAGTAAGTATCATTAAATAAATTAATTGGTTAATTTATTACATTATTTATTGTAAATACTGAGTTTTACAGCATATAAAAATTAAGAGTCTTATAATGAATATAGAAATATTGGATAGAGAAAAGTGAGTGAAATAAATTGGTTATCATTATATTATTTTTAAAAAGCAGCTAAAGCATAATAATAATTAAATAGAAATATTTAATAATTGAGTGAATCAAGAAACTTATCAAAGTCTCATGTATATACATTATAATAATAATTTAATAGAGACATAAAACAGAGATGTTAGATATTAAAATGATGGTTATTGAAGAAAATGTAGATACAAATATCAAGAAGTAGTTTAGTCATCCAAATGTAACTTAATCTGCTAAATCTTCTCCTCAATCCTAAAGAAATAACTAATGGATGTAATTAAAGAATTATAATGCAAAACGAAATATTTTAGGAAATTATGTTAATACAGATTTAAAAGAGTCAATTTTGATGTAATATTAGAAATATTTTAATTAGATAAGATTAAGATTATGTAGATGAATAAGATAGAGATCTATAATATACAGAAACATAAGTTC